GATGCCAAAAAGATACGCTTCTTGAATAACATATATGCATATAAACGTGGCCAATCTGAATGGATACACTCAGATCTGCAGGGGCATTAGGGTGTACACATATAACAACTTAAAATCTTTTTGAGTCCTCATCAGAGAGGCGACTTTCGGAAGGCCTCGTGACCAGGGCGAATTCCTGTAAGACAAATCACAACGGAGGGCAGACTTTTTCACTCCAGCACGAAAGCCAGTGCAAAATATGAACTCCCAAGCTTTGAATATGAAGAACAAAAAAGTAAGTGCGCCTAAGCCACACTGGTGAAGTGAAAATTACGTTACATATCTATTTTGTCTTATAACCAATATACATATATATGTATGTGCATACATAACTACATACGTACATCTGCTTTTAAGGTTATATATTTTGTCTTTTTTCTATCTAGATCCCTACCTACCGTTCGTTCTAGGTACATTTATGCTATTCTCTTTTCCTTTATCTTCATTTTTATCTTTGAAGTCTATCGATAACCAAATCGATAGAAACATCCAAAAAAAATATCGATAACAAAACCGATAAGAATATCGATAAAAAAATCGAAGACAAATTCGATAAAAATTTCGATAGCAAAATCGATTAGAAAATAGATAAAAAATGTCGATACCGAAACCGATAAAAATATCGATAACATGATCGATAAAAATATCGATAACATGATCGATAAAAATATCGATAACAAAATCGATAAATATCTATAGGTAACAAAACCGATAAATATCTATAACAAAATCGATCAATAATCGATAATTTGTCGATAACAAAATCATCGATAACAAAATAAAAATTGTCGATAACAAAATCGATAAAAATATCGATAACAAAACCAATGAAATATCGATAAAAAATATCAGTAACGAAATCGTTAAATAATCACAAAATCGATAACAAAATCGATAACAAATTCGATAAAAACATCGATAACAAAGCCAATAACTTTAGCTTGGCGGCGACATAAACGTAAATGATTCAGCTCTGAAAGAATTTACCGCTGCTGGTAGGAGAGGAAGAGGAAAACGTTTTGTGCAATGGAAAGACTAACATAGAAGGTAATGGCTTCACTTGGGCTGCCGCCAAGTATAGAATATAAACTACTGGCCCGCTTAATTGAATTCGTCAGAAATCGTTCAGGCGCTAAAAAAAAGAACCAGTGCCTGTGCCTCCGGGAGGTTTTATAACTTAGCACGTCGTTCAGTTTATAAGGTAAGAAATTACATACTGGAAAATAGCCCGCTTTGGCACCAAAAAGTCACTAAAATGTTTCATATCTTTGGAAGTCTTTGGAGGACTTTGACAGGACTAGGAATTTACACTATACATTTTTACATTTTACATATTGATTGAGACACTAAAATACGAAAGCCCAATAACATTCGATAACTCGACTAATTTTGATAAATCTCGATAACTTTGCGTTTCAAGGTGTCGACAAATTCCGTTAACCCATAAAAGGAATATATCTTGATGTAAATAGACAACTCGATAAACTTTGGATGTCTCTATAAATTTTGATAACTCGACATATTTTTACAGCTCTATATTTTTCGAAAGCTCGTTACACTCTGATAACATTCCATTTCACCTTGACTGAAAAACCTTTGACTTGCTGCCCAGTGTAAAAAGATCTCAGGTATTTCTCCAGATGCCAAACAGTTTCCTGTCCGCAGATAGAATTCCAAGTACAGGAAGATTTACACCTTTCGTGACCTGTAATGATTTACAGAACAGGTATCTATTAAAAAAACATAACGCAACATTCATTGTTATTCGTCTAAAACCCATTAAGAGCAGACTATTAAATCGCACAAAGAGCTAACCACATATGTATATTCGTTTGAAGCAACTACCCACCCCAGCACTTAGTTAAACAACGGTAAGTGTAATTCATCATTCGGCAAACATAAGAATGTGCGTTCATTTAAACTCGTAAATATTTGGTGGCGCCAACATCCAATGCCAGGTAGTTTATCAATTGAAATCAATGTCAGCCACAATTCATTCAGTGCTGTAAGCAAAACCAAAAAAAAAAA